CACGACACGATCCATCCAGACCACACGTTTTCTGTGAAACATTGCATTCATTGTTAGCACAACCTTTTTCTGCACAAGTGTGTTGACTCTCGGACTTCTGAACTCTACTAGAATTTCAGTACGGAGAATCATGGCCCGGGCTATCTGCATGCATATCCATTGAGGTGTCGTTAGAGCTTGGTGGATTAGGGTCCCTGCCAGGGTGACAAGTGTTCTCACTGTTTCTTTGTCCGTTAATGTTATTCGTATGGGAACTCCCATGAGTCAGATGATAGTGCTGAAGAGTCCGACGAACAGGACTGGAGAGGGCGTTTGAGAAAACGGAGTTTTTCGTTTGGTTATCGGAATTACCAGATCGCAGTCCTTGTCCAATAGTTGCAGCAGGACCAAATGAATTAGAAGATACGGGTGTTCCTGATTGAGTCGACAGCATTGCAGTTTGAGGAGACTCCTCAGAACCATAATCCAGCTCATTCTACAAATTTGTCAAATAATTAAGAATGGGGGAAAAGGGCATGCTTGCATAAACGATGAAAACATATTTGAAACAATGTAAGAAGTTCCATCAACAAAATATTATAAACTATAACAGAGAAACTTCAACCAAAGCCCGGTTCATAGAGACATAATTTATGTCTCATAGCATATGGGTTTTCTAAACAAAATTTCTGATATTAGCACAGGAAACGAAACATGGACAAGCGATCCTTCTATTTTCTGCTGTATTCAGGCAAAACAGAGAGCATAGATATATGAAAAATGCAAAAGTAACCAAACATGATAACAGAAAAATCAGAAACCTAGCCAAGGACGGGGAAGGGGACGCTTTCTGGTACATTAACAAGGACTACGACGAAGCTGACTTCCTTTAGGGAGCAGTAATTAATTTACACAATTTTTGTTGTGCATGTGGCTCATATAGAGTGTAACACGGGCCCTGGATCAAATTGGCCGATGCTGTACGGGCCTTAAAATCTTATATGGGCCCACGCTAGAATTAGTATAAATAATATGTTGTAACCCTATTTTTAATAACTGAATAAAGAAATCTCCGCTTCGCTCTCATGGATGTAGGCACATTGCCGAACCACGTAAAATTCTTGTATTGATTTTCGTTTTCATCTCTTTAATATTGCGCATAAAATCCAACAACTGATATCAGAGCCAGGTTCGGATGGCGAGTTCTTCGATTGCAAAATTTGATGTGATGAAATTTGACGGATTTGGGAACTTCGAATTATGGCAGCAAAGGGTGAAAGATTTGTTGGCGCAGCAAGGGATGATGAAGGCACTATCTGGAAGGAAATCAGAGGGTACGTCAGATGCCGATTGGGAAGAGCTCGAGGCGCGAGCAATTGGTACAATTCGGCTTTGTTTGGCGGACGAAATCATGTATCACGTAATAGACGTTGAGTCTCCGACGAAAATTTGGGAGAAATTGGAGAGTCGTTATATGTCAAAGTCTCTCACGAACAAGCTGCATCTAAAGCAGCGGCTGTACGGGTTGAAGATGTTGGAGGGTACGGATCTGATTCAACACAACAATGTGTTCAATCAAATCATCAGCGATCTATTGCGACTTGAAATCAAGTTTGATGATGAAAACAAGGCAATGATTTTGTTGTGCTCACTGCCTCCTTCGTACGACCATCTGGTGACCACGTTGACGTGGGGTAAAGAGACTCTCGAATTGGAAGAAGTCACATCAGCCCTGTTAGCCTACAACCAGTGGAAACTGCGTACTAGTGAAACTTCACAAGTGAAGGGTTGATCGTAAAAGGCTACCAGGATCGTGGGAGAAGGAAAGACAAGGGTGTTTCTTTTAGAGGGAACACAAGATCAAAATCTAGGAATCAAAATAAGAAAAACGTCAAGTGCTACAAATGCCATCAGATGGGCCACTTTAAGAGAGGCTGTCCCAATAAGAAGCAGAATGATGAAAGGAAAGGTGATGGGTCCTCAAACTCAACTAGTGTTGCAGAAGGAGACTCAGATTCTGGAGATGGAGACATGTTATCAGTCTCTGCAGGTAATTCTGTAAAATTAAATGACTGTTGGATACTTGATTCAGCCTGTTCATATCACATGTGTCCTCACCGGGATTGGTTTCATTCATATCGTTCTGGTAATTTTGGATCTATTCTGATGGGTAATGATGCATCATGTAAGGTCATTGGAATGGAGTCCATAAAATTTTAAATGTTCAATGGTGTGATAAGGACCTTGGAAAATGTTAGGCATGTACCCGAGTTAAAAAAGAATCTAATTTCTTTAGGCACTTTAGACACAAATGATTACTCTTATAAGTCAGAGTGTGGGGCTCTAACAGTGAAGAAATGGGCTATGATTGTGATGAAGGGTCAGAAATTAGTAGGGAATATCTACAAACTACTTGGGGATACAGTTGTAGGTGGAGTTGCTACAGTAGAATCTGATGTTAGATGACACTCTTCTATAGCATATGCGACTAGGGCATATAGGAGAACGTGGCAGAGTTGAGCTTCACAAGAGGAATTTGTTGAAGGGGGTAAAATCATGCAGGCTGAATTTCTGCAAGTTCTGTGTACTTGGAAAACAGTCCAGAGTACAGTTCAAGATGGGAAAGCACAAGACAAAGGGAATTCTTGATTATGTGCACTCAGATATTTGGGGACCAGTGAGGGAATTGTCCAAAAGTGGATCTCAATATTTTATTACTTTCATTGATGACTTCTCTAGAAAAGCTTGGGTATATTTCATGAAGCACAAGTCTGAAACTTTTGCCAAGTTCAAATTATGAAAAGCAGAAGTAGAGAACCAGATGGGCAGAAAAATTAAGTATCTAAGGACAAATAACGATACAGAGTATACAAATTCACAGTTTTTGAAATTTTGTGAGGAGCATGGTATTCAGCGGCACTATACAGTTCGCAAGATACCGCAACAGAATGGTGTTGTGGAAAGGATGAACAGAACAATTGCAAAACGGGCAAGATGTTTGAGGCTGAATGTAGGACTCTCGAAGAGTTTTTGGGCAGAAGTAGTGAACATGGCATGTTATATCATAAACAGATCACCACGAGCAGCACTAGAGGGAAAGTTGCAGAGGAAGTTTGGACAGGCAATGAAGTTGATTATTCTGAATTGAGAGTATTTGGTTGTCCGGCGTATGTGCATGTATCTAGTGATCAGCGATCCAAACTTGATCCTAAATCAAGAAAATGTATTTTTCTGGGCTATGTTAAAGGTGTAAAGGGATACAAGTTTTGGGATCCAGAGGCCAGGAAGATGGTGATAAGTAGGGATGCAGTATTTGATGAAGCATTTATACTTAAAGCTTCTACAGATAAAGAAAAGCTCGATTCAGACGAGAGCAGAGGGAAGAGTCAAGTGGTGCAAGTAAAGCTAGACAATGTAAACACAGAAATTAATGCTCAGGGAGCAGATAGTTCTAGGTCAGAGGTGGAGCAGTATCATAGTGTTGCCTTAGATAGACCACGTCGCACGACCAAGCCACCAGCAAAGTATGGATTCGAGGATTCGGTTTCTTATGCACTCATTACCAGCAACAGCGATCCTATAACTTTTCAGGATGCCATTGGTAGTCAGGAGAAAGGTAAATTGATAGAGGTTATGACGGAGAAAATTGAATCACTACATAAAAATGATACTTGGGATTTGGTGGAGCTTCCAGAGGGGAGGAAACAGATAGGGTGTGAGTGGGTGTATAGAAAGAAAGAAGCAATATCAGAAAAGGAAGGAGAAAGATACAAAGCTCGATTACTAACAAAGGGATATTCACAGAGGAAGGGAGTAGATTATGATGAAATTTTCTCTCCGGTCGTCAGACACACTTCCACCAGGATTGTTTTGGCAATGGTGGCTAATTTTGATTTGGAGTTAGAGCAGTTAGATGTGAAGACTGCTTTCCTTCATGGTGATTTGGAGGAACAGATTTTCATAGAGCAGCCAAAAGGATTTTTGGAATCAGGAACAGAGAATCTTGTGTGTAAACTGAAGAAGTCTTTATACGGGCTTAAGCAGTCTCCACGACAATGGTACAAGAAGTTCGACTCTCATATGATTCAAATTGGCTACAGTCGTTGTGAGTATGATTGTTGCGTTTACTACAGAGTTCTTGAGGATAACTCATATATTTTCTTGATGTTGTATGTGGACGACATGTTAATTGCTGCTAAGAACATGGATAAGGTAGACAAATTGAAATCTTTGTTGAGCAGTAAGTTTGATATGAAAGACTTGGGACTGGCTAAGAAAATTCTTTGCATGGAAATCAACAGGAAGAAGAAAGCCAGAAAATTATGGGTGTCTCAGAAAAATTATTTGAAGAAAGTGTTAGAGAGGTTTAGCATGTCAGATGCAAAATCAGTTGCCACACCACTTGCAAATCACTTCAGATTGTCTAATAATCAGTGCCCAAAGAGTGAAAAAGATGTTGTAGAGATGTCTAAGGTACCTTATGCCAGCGCAGTTGGATGTTTGATGTATGCAATGGTGTGTACCAGACCAGATTTAGCATATGCAGTCAGTGTGGTTAGTAAGTATATGGCTAATCCTGGTAGAGAGCATTGGAGAGCTGTAAAGTGGATTTTCAAGTACTTGAAAGGTACAATAGAGTGCGGGATCATGTTTGAGAGACAACATGGTGATATCTCAGTTCAAGGATATGTAGATGCAGAATATGCAAGGGACTTGGATGACAGAAAGTCCCATACAGGTTATGTTTTCACCCTCGCAGGTGGGCCCATATGTTGGAGGTCAATGGTGCAATCACTTGTAGCATTATCTACAACTGAAGCAGAGTACATGGCGGCAATTGAGGCAGCCAAGGAATTATTGTGGTTGAAAGGACTTGTCAGGGAACTTGGGATCAAGCAAAATGGAATGAAGCTGTACTGTGATAGTCAAAGCGCCATCTTCCTAGCTAAGAACCAGATTTATCATGCAAGAACCAAGCACATTGACGTGAGATTTCATAAGATTAAAAAAGTTGGTTACTTCAGAAGAGCTGTTGTTAGAGAAAGTGCATACCTCAGAGAATGCAGCAGACATGATGACAAAGTCAATCACAATGGATAGGCTCAAGCATTGCTTGAACTTGATTAACATCTCTAGCTATTAGAGAGAATGTGTCCCAACCCATTGGTCCTAGATGGTGTAATTTTTTCAAGTTATGTTTTTTCTCCTAAAGGGTGAATATTCGTCAAGGTGGAGATTGTTGTGCACGTGGCTCATATAGAATGAAACACAGGCCTTGAATTAAATGGACCGACGTTGGTGTGGAGTGCATCGAACGGAATGGAGCGGAATGGGTTGGGGGTGCGGGGGCAACGCCCTCGCGGTACGGTATTGGGGTATTTTCTATAAGGGCCTTAAAGTCTTATATGGTGACGCCAGGTAGGATAGTGATTATCCTATTGGCTGGTTGTAGCAGATGATTCGCAAGAAAAGAACGATAGAAAACGCCCAAAAAAA